AGTTACGGCTGTGCACATCCAAATCCCGTTCTCCAGTATCAATTATGACACCAGCACAAAAAATGGCATTTTACTTCTTTGCAAATCTGCATCAAAAGCGAAGATTTAAAAATGTCTTAATTTAGAGCGGACACATCTTTCTAGAAGAAATATCAGCAACAGAATATATAAGATCACTGATTTATTTTCCATTAAATAAATCAGGGAATAAATTTGAATTATATTAATGAAATAACAAAACTTTTATAAATTTCTCGTCATTCCTGATTTGTTTGGAAACTGCGGCACTGTCAACTACGTAAATAATCCCGCGTGCAGAGCCTGAACAAAATATTAATTTTCAATATTTCTTCATTTTTAATTTTTTTTTTCATTTTTAGTATTTCTTTATATATATATATATATATATATATATACAGATAATTTTGCTTGTCTGTCTGTTTGTTAGTTTCCATTAGACGTAAAAACGTCTGAACGGATCAAGCTTAACGCTTATGAGGGAATATTTATAGAAGCTTAAAATTACAAAAAGGAATTGAGTGAGTGAGTGAGTGAATGAGAGAGAGGGTGAGTGAGTGAAAGGGTGAATGATTGAAAGGGTGAATGAGTGAGAGGGTGAATTAGTGAGAGGGTGAATAGTGAGAGGGTGAATGAGTGAGAGGGTGAGTGAGTGCGCGCGTGCGTGCGTGCGTGCGGTAGTGAGTGAGTGAGTGAATGAGTGAGTGAGTGAGTGAGTGAGTGAGTAAGTAAATAAGTATATAAGTAAGTAAGCATGGAAGTCAGTAAGTAAGTAGGTAAGCAGGTAAGTAAGTAAGTAAGTGACTAATTAGTTAGTTTTTTATGTAGATTTTCAAGATCTCGTTTTTATTTTGGACTGGAAAAGTAAAATAATTATATTTTCTTCAAACAACTTACAATTNCCCCCCTCCTCATCATTCTAGGAAAACAGGGCTTTTAATATTGTAGCTTGAGGGGAAGCCAAATAGCATTTCCCTTTTTTTGACTTAGAGAAAAGTACGCAACTTATGACAAGTGCTTTACACTAGCATTCTTTTTGATTAGTAGATCGACCCTTGAAGTTTTCTTGTTGATCGGTCCGTAGGCAGGATATTACTTACATATACTTCCCATATATTTTTTTGAATAAAGAAACTGGTAAATTACGTTTCCCCGGCAATTTCATTTCCCCTCAATTCCTAAAATACGTTTTTCCTAGATTAGACTTATATAAGCTATAAAAAAGGGACATTTACATTTATATATATTCCCCCCCTAAGGGACTGTAACTGAATATTTGATGAGGATTTGATTGATTCCTAAGGAACTACACATGAATATTAGTTAAGTATTTGATCCCTAAGGTACTGTACCTGAATACTTTTTAAGGATTTGATCCATAAGGTGCTGTACCTGAATATTTGTTAAGGATTTGATCCCTATGGGGTTGTACCTGAATATCAGTTAAGGATTTGATCCCTAAGGAACTGTACCTGATAACTTGTTAAGGATTTGATCCCTAAGGGACTGTACCTGAATATTTGTTAAGGATTTGATCCCTAAGGGACTGTACCTGAATATTTGTTAAGTATTTGATCCCTAATCCTTTCATGGCCAGGGATATCAACAATATTGACAGGTTTCTTGCCATCTAACAACAGCACACCACTGTTCTCCTAATATATACAGTCATCCTCATATGATCAACACAATGAAGACGACTTTCGATTTCAACGTTGATTTATATCAAGCTTTCAAACAGCATGGATACACATAGACATGAAAGTCGAAAGAAGTCGTCAATTGAAAAACTTCACTTTGATTACTTGCAAACTTAACTTAAATAAAAAAGTCGTCTTAATTGTATTAATATAATCGCATACCACGGTATATTAGAAATATATTAAAAAACTTCAACATCTGATGAAAAAATGATTTTAAACAGAAGGGGAGGGTGGATTTATGAAAAAATATATACCATAACAGTTTTTTTACTTCCAAAAAAACGAAATGGATAAAGAAAATAATTTAATGGATTAAAACTTTTTTAAATGCCAAGATACATATTTGAATTACAATCTTTCAACCATCATTCTGTTGAACGAGAGATTTCGAAAGCTTGGAAGAAACTGTTATCGTGTTTTCTTAACCTTCATAGAAGTGTAGGTCTCTAGAGGTTTCCCTTTTAAGAGCTGACCCAGCAATGTCGTCTTCCCCGCGTCACAGGAACCACAGATCAGAATTCCTTGCAGATAAAATTGATGATAAATTGATAACAAAATAAAAAAGGTTTTCTAAATTTATTTCATGCAACAAAACTATATAACAGCACCAACCCCCCCCCCTCAAATAAACAAGTTATGCCTAGGATGGTCTAAAAATATTGATAAAATTTTCGGTGCTTCTCAGAAACTTAAAAAGGATGAACCATTAAAAAAAATCTACAATTCTAATATAAAAACTTTGTTACGCGACGAAATCGTCCCGTATAAACTTTTAGCCCCTGATGAGTTTGATTATACTGTGAAGCCCCTGTGGAGCCGAGAACTGGGATCTGTACTTTCTAAACATTCAAACCAGTTAAAAGTGTACGCTACCTAAACACCATATTGTTTCATGAATTTTCTCGTCAGTTAAATTTGATATTTACGGATAGTAAAACCTGTGTTATTAGTTTGTATGATTTAATAAAGTTCTAATTCGGTCAATCTTTAGATTGAACCGTGTATCCTGTAACTAGAGCACTGATTATTCTGAGACTGAGATTTGTAGAGAGGTCATAGGAGTCATGAAGTTATAGGACGTTCCAATCAACCGGAGCTACAAAATGACTAGGTTCGATATCTAAGGGTTTACCCTAGAGTTTTTATTGTCTATTAGCGGCCAGGGTTGGTCGCGAAACAAACTTGTACATGGAAAATACTAGGTTATGTGTATTTTGTGATATGGTGCGTATTTTGGCGTTAAAACTGGAATATAATCCTATATAATATGGGCCGCTCTGTAAACGTCAACCATGTGGTTTACCTCTTCCAAACTTCCGTTTCCGAGAGAAGATGAAGACAAGGATTAAAGTGACGAGCCCTGGATCGCAAACATTTAATTCATCGACATTTAAAATTAAAATTTTAATTTTTGCATTTCGACTTAATAATAACTTTTTATCCTTAATATATGTTAACTTTGTACCAAGTCTATCGTATCCTATCCTATCCTATCCTATCCTATCCTATCCTATCCTATCCTATCCTATCCAATCTATCCTAAATCAATTCAAAATTTATTCCAACTTTTCTAGATCTAATTTAATCCCTCCCAAGTTTTAGAATTCTAAGGGTCGAATCAATAAAATGATTTCTAAATAAAAATCTGAATTCCTGAAACCCTTACACTCCCAAGAAGAAGAATTGCAAGGCTTATCAAGACTCTAGAGAGCCTACAAATTGGATTTTGGAAACTTAAGAACAAAAAAAAATTGAATTTGAATTATTTCAAATTTAGCTGCCATGAAACAAATTAAAGATGACATAATGGTAAGTTCATATTCAATGGGGGGACCCTAAAGACCGGGTGGAAGGATGGTAAATGAAGGGGAGGGGTAGAGGACCCTAGAGACCGGGTGGAAGGATGGTAAATGAAGGAGAGGGGGGGACCCTAGAGACTGGGTGGAAGAATGATTATAAATGAAGTTCTTGACCATTTTTTTACCACTTGTGACTTGATTAAATTCAAATAAATAATAACTTTTAATAAAAAAAGTGAATTTGTAAATGTTAGAAATATAAAAAAACATAAAATATTTCATAATGGTGAGGGTGGAAATGGTCTTTAAAAAGATTTCTGACAAGTTCATTTTAAGCAATAGTTTTCTATCTATTATTGGATACTTAATTAAATCTATGAGAACCATGTACTTCCGAGATCTTTCACTAATCTTTTCTTTTCTTTTATTTTGTTTAAAAGAAGTCACATTTCATTTTCCAGACTTAATGCAAGAGAAAACCTCTTTCAGATGGTGATTTCTTAATTTAATCTTCTATGAAGAAGATATATTACAGTATTTTTTTAAACAAAATAACAAGGGTGTATATTTTTCAGAATTACCCGAGGGGGGGGGGGTGTGAAAAATGGTACATCATAAGGCAAGATTGATTATCCATTCTTTGTAATACTTTTGACCCAAAAAATTATTCATTTTCTCCTAAAGTTCATCTATTTCCACAATTCAGTAAAACGCGAAACATTTTTTGCGCAAACATAAATTACTTCTGGGAAAAAAATATTTTTTAAAACGGGAGGGGATAATGAATTAATTAGAAAAATATACACAACTGAAAAATAATCTGAGATTTCCAAAAACAAATCCTAAGATTAGCCTTCTATAAGAGTAATTGGTTAGTATACTTAGTACTTTTACCCACGTTGAAGTCCACGTTGTAAAATATTATACTTTATGAAACTATTAGGCCCAGTTCATACTATTTCATTGTAGCAGTGCTTTAAAGTAATTATTTTGTAAAATGATCATAGCACAGTAGTATAAAATTTTAATGGCTCCCATTCCTCAAAAAAAAATCCAAGTCTTGTTTTTTTTAATTCAAGTAAAAAAAATTTAATTTTATTGGTTTGCGATTTTTATTCTGTCAAAAAACTTTTTTATCAAGAACAACATACGAGTCTTCTATTGATGGTGATAAAAGATTGACACTCGTGTTCTGATTTAGACCGGTTTCAAAATTGGGACTCATAAAGCAGTCACAGAATAAAAAAAGGTGAGAAAACATCCTCCTTTAATGTGTCGAGGAGACAGTCCAGCACCGCAGATAAAGGGCACTGTGCTATAATATAAATGATGTATGCTAGTCTGTCATTATATGGAGTTTACCATGAACTGGGCACGAATGATAAAATCATTAAGTGCCCTTTCTCTACAGTTATCAAATGGTAACTTATAATGTTTGTCACCCAAAAATTTATATTTAAAGATAGATTAATTTCTGAATTGTACAGTTTGCGTTCCTACAAGGAGAGCCACAAGAATCCCAATGGTTTGCGGGTCCCTGGCATCCAACCGTTCCCGGGTTTCTTCAAAGAATCCTTTTCCCTCCATTTTTGTAGGTTCTCTGGCAGCCATGTTTTTATCTGTAAAATCAGTTTTTAGACAAAAAAACAAAAATCATACTTAAAACTTAATGCCCTTTTCTTTATATATATATATATAATATTTTGAGTGCTAAATACAATGATAATTCTAGAAAGCTTTTTAATAATTATCTTCATTACCATAACACACGAATATTTAGTTATAAGACTAGGAGTCATGTGTGAAGAATATTTATAAAATATATCTATGCAATAAATCCTAATCAAACATTTAAAAACTATTCCAAGATATATTAACGTAAAACAATTTAACTTCGTTAAATTCCGTCGATTTATCTACATTGTTAATCTTGAATAGTTTGAATATTTATAAAAGGATAAAATACTTTTATTGTTTGAGATCTTAACTTAAAAATTTAGATTTAAATCACTATAAAATTCAGAAATTATTTGATTATAAAATTATATTTAAAGTGTCTTAATTTTCGACACACATGAAAGAGTTATGATCGGAGTCATGATGAGAGTTATGAAAGAGTCATGATAAGAGTTATAAAAGATTTATTAAGAGAAGGTTCAGAAAGTACAAGAGCAATAGTACAAATCTAAAAAAATGCTGGTTTGAAGCTGAATTAAGATATGATGAGGAGAGAGAAAAAAACAATGAAATCAAGTTAGAATCAGGGTTATCATTGTACCAACCTAACAAGTTGATTGCTAACAATGTAGAAAAGTTCTGGCAAATTTGTTAGTTTAATCTAATCAGTTTGGCGTGTATATGTTAAACAATGAATTTGATTACAAAAGGACACTTTGGTAAAATTATGCTAAAAGAATAAATTACAATTTATTTATCAAAAATATATAATTGTGTAACTTCTAACTTTGTATGAATCAAAAAAAAATTATTTTATGTATCTTTTAAAACAAAACAAAAAAGACATATCTATTTATGGAACACTGTTGTCTATCCTTGGAACACAAAATATATATATATGTATCTATTCATCTATTTATGCAACACTGTTGTCTATCCTTGGAACACAAAATATATATATATGTATCTATTCATCTATTTATGGAACACTGTTGTCTATCCTTGGAACACAAAATATATATATATATATGTATCTATTCATCTATTTATGCAACACAAAATATCTGTATATCTATCTATCTATCTGTTTATAATCTTTAGAAGAGAAAATAGATGTATATCTATCTATCTGTCTATAATCTTTAGAAGAGAAAATATCTGTATATCTATCTGTTTATCTAATTATGGAACACAAAGAAGACTCTTGCTACCAGAACTAGTCATATCTCGTTCTACTCCCTATACATTACATTCGGATGTTTTTTTCACATAACAAAGTTGAAAAAATAAAATAACAAGATGTCAAGATGGCAATGCCTGATTCATAACGGTATTCTTGAAAAAGTTTCGATTTTCTAGGAAGTGATTATTTCTGATAATTTCTATTTGCTTTTCTCCAGTTGTAGAGAAACCATAATTGAAAATCATCACCTTGTCAATACTATAACATTGATATCTAATTTATACTTGATCAGACAAAGGTTTTCAGGATACTCTTGTGAATCCGGCATTGGCATATATGCATGGAGACGCTTACAGTCCTTTTAATAACAAATTTCATGATGAAGTCTTTATCCAAGCAACCTAATGGTGTAAACCTTTTATACTTTAAACTCTGACAATCTGTTCTAGCCGAGTTCTTGATATGAAATATTAAAGGTCGTTTCAGGTTGCAAAGATAAATTAAAGAATTAGAGTTTGAGGTGAATGTTCGGTTCTTTGAATAGAGGTTAAAATCATCAAATATTAAAAAAAGAATTTTGAAGAAAATATTCGAGTTATTTAATAAATGTTATTAACATCAAAATTTTCCTGAGTAAGAACAACTCCAAATAAAAAGCTCCCTAAAATAAAATATAACAATTTGTCAATTCAATAAACTGCGGTGCTCACAGATGACACATTCAGGTTTTGAGTTGAACTTAAAATTTTCCCAAAGCTTTTATTTTCAATCGTCTGTCATATGCAAAGTAAACAATTCATGTTGAATGTTTTACAAGCTATTTTAGGTTGTTTCTCAAACCTGATTTTTAATTAAAAATAAAACTATTGTCAGATATCAATATTTCAATGGCAACTAAATCTTGGACTCAGGGATAAATATTTTTAATAATCCCTGCGGAAATAATTAAAAATTGGACTTAGCAGATATTACATTCTTTTTCATACTTAGCCCCAACATGTATTAATTTTTCCCAAAAAATCATTATTTTACCCTAATCCAGCGAATTAACCCTTAAAAAAACAGACTCTAGGGGGGTACAAAATGGTTACAAGGGGAACTTCTCTAGGGGGGTAAAAAATGGTTACAAGGGGAACTTCTCTAGGGGGGTAAAAAATGGTTACAAGGGGAACTTTTCTAGGGGGTATAAAATGGTTACAAGGGGAACTTCTCTAGAGGGGTAAAAAATGGTTACAAGGGGAACTTTTCTAGGGGGTAAAAAATGGTTACAAGGGGTGATAGGGGGACAAATAATTTTCCACGAAAATATAGACCCCTGTACTTGGTTCCTACCTAGGATGAGAAATACAGTTGCTAAACCTATCTTGAGTTTAGCTTCTAGCTTCACTAGGCCTGGATCCAGCATCAAGGTGGATTGTAGAAGACAGATCCCTAACAGATAAAACAATTTTAACTAAAAACGCGAACAAATTTTGTGAAAAATCCTGTAAATTGATCTGTTTGTAGTTTAATCAACTTATTATGCTTCTAATTAAGCCTTTTAGTGGAATAATTTAGTTAATTATCTGATATCAAGGTAGTTTGTTCTAATGTATGTTGTTAAGTTTTAAATTGGTTGTTTGGTCTGATTTTGCGTGTTTGGTCTGATATTGTTTGTTTCGTCTAAAATTGTTTGTTTGATCTGATATTGTTTTCATAGTTTAATATTTGTTACTTGGTCTGATATTGATAGTTTGGTATGAAATTTCTAGTTTGGTATAAAATTGGTTGTTTGGTATAAAATTGGTGGTTAGGTATGAAATTGGTAGTTAGGTATGAAATTGGTTGTTTGATCTGAATAGAACATACCAAACCAAACCTGATCTAGTGTATACCGGTCTGGTTTGGTTTGGTGTATTTTACCTGGAAGAATAAAAATGAAAACTGCCGCCAAAGATCCAATAATGTTTATCACAAATCCAATATCAGGGATTTTTGCAGCTTAAAAAAATTATTTCTTTATTAATCTTTAGTGTCCATTCAGCAAAGTGTTAAAAGAAAAATCTAATAAAAATCTTATCAAATAGTTTACGGAAAAATGCAATTTAATGAAATAAATTGTCCGTTTTTTTCCATTAATATCTTGATTTTCGTTCACAAACACCAGATGTACATCGTGCAAAACAAAACTTCCATTTTAAAAGCTACTAAAAATCATGCCCCGTTGTTGAGTGTGTGTGTCGAAACGGCTGAACTGGTCGGGCCCAGAATATTTTGCATAACATTGTAAATTACCAAGAGGGTTTTATGGCCAGTCAACATTAAAATTCATTAAGTAATTCATAGTCTAGGTTTGGTTCAAAATGTTCCACATAAAAAAACAACACAAAAAGCAGCAAATAAGGATAAATTAAAGGAACAGTAAATGTGAAAATTTATTGTTTACAATTTTATCAAAATCTTCCTCATGTTTACTTAAAGTGTACCCATGTGCATCGACCCTAATAACTTTACAAAAGAAGCGGCACTTGAAACTTTAGTCCTTTTAGTCGGACTGTAAGCGTTATTTTAAGCGCCTCTCCCGAAGCTTTGTCTGATTCTTTTAACAGTTAATTTTTCAATTGGGGTTTCTCTGCAAAATTGCAATTGCGCATTTCTTACTGATAAACAATAGAGAAATTAATATGATTTAATAATCATTGAGTTAGTAAAACGAGGTTATCTTCCACATTCTTTATCAAATCAAGGTTTCACGGGTACCGTTGTAATCGAGCATTGCCTTTTTTTGCATGGTGGAGGATCCCTTGAAACTACGCCTACAGTCCCTTAAAATGTAATTATGTTTACCTAAAACTACGCCTACAGTCCCTTAAAATGTAATTATGTTTACCTAAAACTACGCCTACTGTCCCTTTAAATGTAATTATGTTTACCTAAAACTACGCCTACTGTCCCTTTAAATGTAATTATGTTTACCTAAAACTACGGAGAGAGCAAACCAAACAATAGCAATTATATATCTTCTAAACTTTTCTTTGGTTCTAGTTTCTTCAGTTACGAACAGATCTTTGATTATTGTTGAGATGGCCTCCCTAAAATAAAATTAAAAATGTAAAATAAAATATAATTAGTTACCTTCAACTAATCAGAGATTGGTCTAATCGGTTTCTTTAATCAGAATTCAATCACGTCTATGTAACCATTCAGCTTACAGAGTTTACATGTTCTACTTCTTTACTAAAAGGGACTGTACAGAGAAAATGAATGGGGGGTGTAGGCTGAAAACTAAGAACTTCAGGAGTTGATTGACACCTATAAGAGTTCTATCTGATGTTCCTGTCTCGAGGAATTGATACAAAACTGTGTCAATATTATACCAAAACTTATATATACAATTATAAGATAAGGAATAAGATTCTAAGTTTTAAACAGATTATATTCAGCAAATACAAAACCAATCTGAAAACGAAGATATCTCAGAAGAGTCTGATAAACTCAGGTTTGCTCCAACTATTATTTAAATTTAATAATTTGTTATTTTTAATAGATAATAATAATAGATTTAATAGATAATATCATTGATACGTCCGTATCAGGTGACCAGAACTCCCACCAATGACAGTGCAGTATCATTGTCACGTGATACAGACAGAGAGCATTGAAAACCAACTTAGATTTAAACAATATTTGCGTACTATTTACAACTAGAGGATTTTAAGTGAATATGCATTAGCTTTAACTGGATCCGAAAAGTGTCCTCAAAAAATGTCATGCTTGGTATACGTTGAAAATTGGCACTTTGATATAGTGCCTGAGAGCGTAATTTCAAGTGACCGTTCCTAAATGCACCTCCCGATTTACAATGGTACCCTGAAAACATATGTGCTCATCGAGGACAGAAATATGTGTGTTTTTCAACTTTTCAACTCCTTTATTCAGCATCAAATTCTAGTGTGTGCTAGCGCTATGTTAAGTTACGTGCAGTCTGATATTACGCTTACAGTCCCTCTAAGACACAATGTCTTCATTTTCAACAATGTCAAATATCATAAAATCAAATTATTAATTCAATATTTTTGTAAAAATTAAATAAAATGTTCTTGGTTAAATAAATAAATATTGAAATTGAGAATATATTTGCAGGATGTTGAATGTTGATCTAATCATTCAAATATGATTTGATATATTCTACACGTTTCTGCGCTTATTTGATACTAAATTTAGTCTCTACATTTTATAGATTTTCAATGAGTTTTTACCTTCCGCAAAACAAAAGGATAGGATAGGTAGTGTAGGTCTTCAACGCCATGGATATAAGGGCTATCAGGACCCAAGGATTGGACGCTGAAAAAATGTCTAGAATTATTGATTACAATAAAAAAGAAATAAAGCCTTTTTCCAAAAATTTTATTTTAATTACGTAGTTATTTTTCATATTAATTCTGAGTTCCCGAAAGTGTAAAGAACTCAACCAATTAAGTGGGGTTTGGAGAATCCAGCACAGCCAATCAGAGAAGCGGGAGAATTTTTTAATTTTGCGCGCCATTTAATGAGTGAACTCTCATTGGTCGGAAACTGGCAGGGTGAGAAAAAGAAAGAATGAGAGCAGAATATGAAGGAAATTAAAGTGTAAACTTTGGATATTCAGATAAAGCGATCGGGATTAAAGGTATCCAATTAAAAGTTTTGGCTCTGAAACAAAGAAAATCCTAAATAAACTTTTGAAATAATACCTGAATAATTTTCTAGAATATCATTGCTCACATTTGATCCAAAAGTTAAATATCCAAATGTAGCGGCGCCTGAAATTAAAGAAAATTAGCAAAAAATTTCAATAATACATAAAGTAATAATCTTAGTTTGTCTGTTTGTTTGAACACAATAGAACCACGGGAATGTACTTGGCTAAAAACTTCTAAGTTGAGTGGGTTAACTTCAATTAGAAAACTCCTGTCAATGCTGGATTCCCAAGCTTATTTTGCATCAAAGGCATTTCCAAAACAAAAAATGTTCCCAATTTGAATAAAATAAATAAATAGTAAATAAACATCAACCTTCATTCCATAGAATAATATGTATCCATAGTGATTGTCCCAATTTTGCTATAGTTTGATGTATCACATGCAACTGTTATTCTAACTTGGGCCAAACTTAGCACATAAGTATTCAAAGATTTTTTCTTTTATTGCGCGCGCGCGCGGACATTTAAGCCTTTGGGGGTGAATTTTTTTAGCGCATATTTGTTTTAAGAGTGACAGGAAAAATTTTCAAGTGCAATTAATGAAGTTAAGATTGATTTACTGTCAAAAAAGACGTATTTTTTATTTATTAATTTATAGTTAGGTAATATTATGATCAGTGCTTTGGATTAATTTAATTTTGACGCGGATCCTGATCCGGATCCTGGATCCGCATTGTAAAAAAATGGATCCTGATCCAAATCCAGATCCGGATTCAGGTCATTTCTTTAAGATTTACTGATTTTTTTAACAACAATAAATCAAATTTTTTTTTTCATTTTATTCGCTTATTTTTATCCTAAAACTTGATGAACCATTCAGAAATGAGGAACTTTTTAAAATCTCTCTTTTTTCAAAAGTTCAGATTTGGTTTTTTGGAGTAAACATTTGTTTTGCAGTTTTTGCTTGATATTTTATATGCGGATCCACGGATCCGATTCAGAAAGCCAAAAACTAACGGATCCAACGAATCCGGATCCGGATCCTAAGCACTGAATATAATGCTTAGTTGCCATAAATAAAAGCTATTTTCAAAATGAAAGATTGTTCGATGTTTTGAATTACTTATTTAATTTACAAGAACTTTGCTCTTGAAAGGGACTGCATTCTTAAATTAAAGTTTCCATTCCTTTACGGAGTTGCATGTCTAATTCACAACTGTAAACCTTTATCTCAGATATAGGGAGGTTAATATCGTTATTTTTCTTTCGGAAAGTGTTGAATTCTGGTATAGTATTCTGTGTGTCTCCTGCAAAAATCCGCATCTTACTTCTGTTTAGAAACCATAATTAAAAATGAACAATTTTTGGCTTCGTAAATCATGCACAAATGTTAATTAGGTACCTTTCTGAATCACACATGAAATTAGGTCACTTCAATCAAATTTGTTCATAAAATATAAAAAATTAGTTCATAAAAATGTAAGATGAATTTTTGACCTGTATACACGAACACACACGCAGTTATGGCAGTCGAGGAAGCTATGGTAAAATGTTTCAGGTTTCTGACAAAAATTTTAAATACAAAATACAAATTATACATCCATTTGTTTTTAATTTCCAATCCTTCCACCCCCCCCTTCCAATCCTTAACACCTTCCAATCCTTCACACCTTCCAATCCTGGAGTTCTTCCCAAGCCTTCTATTTCTTCAAAATCAATCAGACTTTTAGCGACACCCAATGTCCACATCGCAATCCCACCATGACTGTACTAAGCAGGCATTGAATTCTTCTCAACCTTCCAATCCTTCCCATCCTTGATAGCTCTCTTACATTATCCATATATGCTTTGATATAAACTTGTCAAGCTAAACAAGTATCTGTTTGAAATGTGCGGACTTTTATCTGTTAATTTTATCTCTATTCATTGCCGAAAAGTACCCCCACCCCATCCTCCTCCTTCCTTAAAGTTCTCTTTTATCAATTCTACTCTCCCAAGGGAAGGGGGGGGGGGTTCTTTCCTTTACAGCAGCGTTTCGGATCCGGATCCGGTCGGATCCGTATCATTTGGTCGGATCCGGATCCGGATCCGTATCAGGAAACGTTGATATGGATCCGGGTAGCGCCAAAAATTAACCAAAACCATGGAATAAATAAATCAAAATGGTTCGTAAATGTATTATTTACATGACGAAAATTTTTCAAAATTATCTTTAATAATTTAATGTTTACATTTATTCACAGAATCAAAAGTTACCTCGGATCCGGATCCGGATCCGCATCAAAATGATACGGATCCGAAACACTGCTTTACAGGGTGTCCTTATAACCATGGATATTGAGTGACGTCACTACATCGACTTTGTTATGCATTAGCGTTGTAATATCTTATTTACCTCGTAATAAAGTTAGTTCTGTTAGAACATATTTCGTAGGAATGATAAAAAGCTGTTTATAATAAGAAATGTCAATGGTGTGTCACAAGAATGGGATCAGAGTAGGGTTTCTAATCGGAATTCCGTTCCGCGCAACTGTTCTCGTTTTGAACAGAATAATGCGGAATAACTGTGAACCACGGGTATACATTTTCTCATCATTGAAATAGAAGTTGGCTACCATGCAATTCAAAACTAACTCTAAACTCTAGCAGATAAAACAAAAACATTCTATTAATTAAAGCTAAATCAAAAGTCATGTAAAAAGACAATCTATTTATCGTGACTCAATCCCCGTATTTTTTGGTGCACCCTGTATAATATTCACAGCACAACCTCTGCCCCGGTTTTATCAATTCGTTTGAAATTAAATTTTCTTCTTCAAAGTCACTGCTTTCTCTAGTATTACAAACATTTTCCCTAGGAAATTATTTATCAGCAGGATCTAATAGAAAGTCAACCTCCCTTGAGGAAGTTCAAAAATGGAATTAAGTCTTTTCCACTAACTCGGATTTTCTTATCTCTATATCTTTGCATCCCAAGTCATATACCTTGCATATTTCAAACTGTAAATTCTGTTGGATCACATAATCTAAATCTACACCATTAGGTTACACAGATAAAGGAATAAGAGAATTTGAGTTTGTGGCGGAAACTCCATTCTTTTCCACGGGAAAAATAAAATGAGAATAAAATTGATAATATCACTATTTAAAAGCCTATGTTAATTAATGAAAATTAAAAAAGAGAAGAAACAAACATATTTAATTTTGTCCCTGTGTTTCATGCAGGAGTAAATAGGTATTACGCTCACATGGCACTAAAAATAAAGAAAAATATGTTTAAAGGGCGGATTCAAAATTGAGTTAAATTTACTGTTACATAAAGAGACTGTCAACGAAATTAAAATCGCGGAATTCAGATTTTTTTATTTATCTTCTCTGTACCGCTTGAGTTAGTTAGTCACTTCTACAGCTTAAGAATCCACAATCAATTTCATCCATTTTCAGCCAGAAAAACAAGAAAATGTAAATTTAAAGTACTGAGAAACTCTTTACATGGAAAGTCACTTCAAAATTGAATCAACAGTTCCTTTACTAAGGTATAGTTCAGTATAAATAACATCAGAAGTTTGTCTAATACAATTCTTCAATTTAAAACTGTGACGTATCAAATTTAGTGAGTTTTGCCAACAAAAAAACAATGTGAACAGTAATTTATCTTTACTTTCATTGGATTGTCCAACGAGTCCTCACATCCTGCCTATATTTATAACTCAATTACTTAATTAAGTTATTACATTTAAAATTAAGAATATAATGTCAATTGTAAGGGACTATAAGCCTAATTTCGAGTGATCGACATGCGAAGATGGCAATGCCTGATTTACAACGGTTCTCTAAAAAGCTTCGTCTGTTCAAGAATGAATTAGATCTGAATGTTGATAATTTAGGGAACTGATTATTTTCAATAGTGGTATCTCTACTTGAGTGATTTCCACATTTTCCCACATTTGAAAAATTTTAAGATAGAAAAACATTCCAAAATATTGCTTAGATATTTGTAAATCTAACATTGCCAGCTTTGCATGCAGGATCACTTCAGATACACATAGAGTCACTTAAATGAAGAATATATTGGTTACCTGGTATCCGAAACATATGACTGGTATCACATTAAATATATCGAGAATATTATCAGGTTTTGTCTTTATCTCTCCAGGTTTATAGTTTCCACTAAACAGCAATATATAATATATATATAGGATCCTCGTTACAGGTGTTTAAACGGATTTCAGAGGGTTTTAAGTGTTTATAAGGGCATAAAGGGGTTTCAATGGGGTTCAATGGGTATCAGCGGGTTTCAACGGGTTTCACGGTTTCAAGTGGTTCAGTGGGTTTCAATGGGTTAGAAGTGGGTTGTTAAGGGGCTTCTAAAAGGTGTCAAGAGGTTTATGGGGGGTTTTAGGGGTTTTGATGGATTTTAGGGGTTTAAAGGGATTTAAAGGGATTTAAAGGGATATAAAGGGGTTTAAAGGAGTTTCAAATTGTTTAAGTTGTCATCCAGAACGTAAATCCAATTATAAATCCGAAAAAATTAATTAAGATCAAGCTAAAAAATGTTGTTGAGACATTTCATGGAAAGAGATTTCATAGATAACAGTATCATATATGAGACATTTCATAGATAAGACATTTCATAGATAGGACATTTCATGGATAGGACATTTCATAGGGCATTTCATAGATAAGACATTTGATAGACAGAGAAGATTTAAAATTGAGACATTAGATTTATTTTTTACAAATTGTATTTTTCTTTTTTCTTAATATTCATATTTGACCTTGTCTATGAAAAGTCTTCTCTGTCTAGTGTCTTTGCAATGTCTTATCTATCCATCTGTCCCTTCTCCTTCTATACGTGTCAGAGAATTGCAGTTTTTCCAATTTAGTTTTTATTTTTAACAATTCACTCGAGCATTTTCATTCAACAAAAGCACTATTAATGAAAAACTTTTAAGCGGACAAGAAGGTTTTCACATATGAACAATAAATTGAGTTTAAGTTCTTAAACAAATAAATTAAGTACATGGGCGTTGTAATTACTTTATACCTTGTCCAAAAAAAAAATTAAGAAAAAAAAATCTTCTCCATGTATTTGGAAAACCTTCCGTGTCTATGAAATATCTTATCTATGAAATGACTTATCTATGAAATGTCCTCTCAATGAAATGCTTATCTATAAAACTAGCCTTAGAGGGCGCTTCGCGCCCATCTTCTAAATTAATTGTGAACATGTTCTCTTTGTGTACATCGTAAAACAAAACAAAAGTAATTCGCGGATTTTCACAAAAAATTTCGTAGATTTTCAAAATTTTAAAAAATTTAATGAAGATCGAATTTTGATGGAGACAAATATTAAAAATTTCAATCATTCATAAAAAAAACCTTCCCTGGGGTCCCTAGATGTCCATCAAAAAAATTTGGGCCCGATCGGTTAAGCCGTTTTGACGTTTATTGGATACAAACAGACAGACAGACAAGCCAAATTTATATATAGATGTCGCGACAGCTTAAAAATGTTTCCTCATCATTTATCATTTACTTTTTTTCTAGGGGGGGGGGACGAATATTTTACGCTTACACTTTGTTTTACAATATGAAATTAGGAGAGTTTCTTTGTAGAGATTATTTAGAAGTTAATCGATGTTTCTTCCACACGATCCGGATCGTTGGATGTCCGGATCCGGTTTGCGAAAATATTGCGGATTTGACCGGATTTTTACCAATCTTACGTTACCTGAAGTATTGTGATATTATGATGATGACTATGTATAAGATAGTGAATACTCCCATTACTGATGCATACTTCAAGAAATCAATTTTACTGAAAACACATCAAATATTTTATCTCTTGTACAACATAAGTTTAATTTCAAAACAAGTTTGACTCCCACGCATATGATTATAATTCGGCAAAAACTCCAACGTAATCTAAAGTCTTTTTTACATTTTTAAACTTCTTACAATATTATCAAACTAAAAATGTTCAATCTGCAATATTTTTAAGGGTTTCTTTTCAAAAACTAGAAAAAATCTCTTTGCTCATCAAATTTTCAAAATTAAAAAAAATTATTTTCAATGAGAAAATATTTGATGAGCCTGCCTTGTGAAACATAAAGGTAGAATCAGGAGAACTGAGGTTACAGGCATAATAAAATTCCTGCCAGTTAAACAAAATTTAACGATTTAGAAGCTCGTAAAAATTTTAAGAACATTTAAAATTTTAATTAGTGTTCACTGCTCAGGGCCTTTTAAATATTTTTATTAGACCAAAATTTTCCTAATTATTTTATTCCACTAATTTTTCATAAAACTAGATTGATCCAGAAAAGTTTTCTGATCTTAAATTACTAAACCATTAACATTTATGTTTCAGAGCAAAGTTTTTTCTTTTGTGATATTTGCACCACTGATTTCTGTTTAACCAGTCAAATAAAATAAAATCAGACTGTTACAGATGTCCTACACCCACACAGCAAATTGGGGGGGGGGGGAATAATTTATTTTTATTAAATTAGCTTAATTATTTGTTTAATCCCTGTTCAGAAACCATGTTTTACAGAAGTCTGGTCCAATCAGAGAATCAAACGCCCGGTCGAATTGATCTCCAATTATGATGAGAAATGTTAAACAGGTTCCTAGCAGTAATATTGTCAATATTTTAAGGACATGCACGGACGCACAGTAGGGACAAATCGGACAAACATAAAAGCTGAACAGTGAACAGTGATAATGCACATTAAGGACGCACATTAACGACGCACATTAAAGACGCACAGTGAAGATGCACATAGTAAAGAAAAACATTGAGGACTCACATATAAGATACAGCATATGAAGCGAATTGGCAATGCTCAGTGAAAACGCACAATGAGGACGCGTGAGGACGCACAATGAAAATGGACAGTGAGGAAGTACAGTAAAGATGCACAATGAAAGCAAAATCTGAGAGCGCACTATTAACAGCACACAAAATTGTGACATTTATACATAACACATTATATAAGACAGTTGAATACTAGAAAAAGGGACATTTTAACTGACAAAAGTTATCATCTTTCCCTAGAGCAAAATAGGACGCACATTTTTGAAAGTATATTGAGAAATTTCATCTCATACATACATACATACATACATACATACATACATACATACATACATACATACATACATACATACATAAGTACGTGCATACGTACGTACGTAGGTACATACATAAATACATACATACACCCATACATACATTCATTCATACATACATAGTATGTATTACATACATACATACAAATAAACATGTTAGCTTTACAAGTATAGAATTACCAAAACAGTAGAGAGCTGTAATTAAAGATGTAATTCTCTCCCCCCAAACTCCACAAACGGTGTGCATTACACCTGGAAAAAAAGATTTGATATTCTATGCGCTTTTATTCAACAAACAAAACAAAAACTTCAAAAATATTAAAAGGACTCACTGCCTATGCAGTTTAAAGTTACACTGACTGAATCAAAAATTTACAATAATACACTTTCTAGGAAATAATTTTAGGATATCCTTGTTTTTTCTCTATTAAGATTGATCATTTTCCATTGAGATTTCTTAATGAAAGTAATTTGCGGATTTAAGATAAAGAGAAAACTATTGTCAAAATTGGTCTCTTTTTACGATGGGAAATCAGGGATATCTTTATCATTGATACTTTCGATAGAAATTCTGAAGTGTACCGTTTTAAACTAGCAAACAAACAGCATGTACAATTTTAATCATAGGATCAAAACTTCTTATAAACTCTCAACACATTTTTAATAAAACTTGATTAAACAATGTCTTTTTCAATAAACTTATTCCCTCCCCCTAGGGGGAAGGGGACCACTTAATTTTACTCATACTAGCCTTGCGCCTATCTTCTAAATTAATTGTGAACATGTTCTCTTAGTGTACATCGTATAACAAAACAAAAATAATTCGCAGATTTTCACAAAAAATTTCGTGGATTTTCAAAATTTTAAAAAATTTAATGAAGATCGAATTTTGATTGAGACAAATATTTAAAATTTCAATCATTCATAAACCTTCCCTAGGGTCCCTAGATGTCCCACAAAAAATTTGGGCCCGATCGGTTCAGCCGTTTTGACGTTTATTGGATACAAACAAACAGACAGACAAGCCAAATTTATATATAGAAGATTACCTTGCAAAGTGGTTGAATTTCTCAAATTCGAAGTTGACGCGAGTATAACTGAAAACAGGCATATTTTCAAGTAAAACACTTTGGAGAATTTAAAAAATGGATTTTTAAAAAATGTTGGAAAACATCGTATTAATATCAAAAAAAGAGAAATTGAAAATCTAATCAAATCAAGTTAAATATTAAAGGGAACCCAACGTGGAACCTCCAGACTGGCTTCAGGGTGCTATGCACCACTGGAGCCTCTGATTTAGGTCTAGTCTCGATTTAGCGAAAATATATTGTTTGTATTACAATAATGGTAGAAAATCTGCATCATCATGTGTATTTATCTTAATAAACCTTCCTAGAGCAATCATTATAAAAAGAAGAAGAACAGCTTGAACTATAACTGCTGAAAGGACTCCACCTGTTAAAAGGATTTTTATGAGATTTTTCCTCGTTATTTAGATTTTGTATGTTTTTGTTCAATATTTAGTTAAATGACAGAACCTTCTCGAACCCAAAAGTTCACATAACCTTCCTTGTTCCCCCCTCCCTCCTTTTGACTGACCCTAAATACCAAACATTAACCTTACCTCTTTCGCCTTTCCCTTATCTCCCGATAACCTTGACACGTCTAGAAGTCCTTCTACAATAGCAACATTTTTTATTCTACCTCCCCCCCCCNATCTATCTATCTATCTATCTATCTATCTATCTATCTATCTATCTATCTATCTATCTATCTATCTATCTATCTATCTATCTATCTATCTATCTATCTATCTATCTATCTATCTATCTATCTATCTATCTATCTATCTATCTACCTTAGGGCGGCCCTGTAAAAATTGTTCAGAGGTGCACTTTTTCTTCTGAATAGATATATATGAAACTAAGAAAAATCCAAAATATTTTTTATTTTTGACCATTTTTTCCGGTGCCGTTGGAAAAAACCTGATTTTTTGGTCATTTTTGAACTTTATTGATTTTATTTCTTAAAACTTTTATAAAATCCAAAGTTTTTGGCTGAGAATAATATTTTATATCATTTTGGAAATCCCAGATAATGGTCTAAAAGAATAAACCAACTTAAACTGAATATTATGAAAAATCATAGTTTTATAAGCAGTTTTAGCCCCAAAATCATCGATTTTATTGATGCGCACTTGCAGCTCACTAACATACCCTGAGAACTGAAAAAAAAAAAAATTTTATTTTCATTTTCTTTATTTTATACTTATTCTAAAATGTCATTTCTTTTTGAAATACCTTCAAAAATGGCCGATTAATGAATAGTTCAAAAAAATTCGTTTTTTTGAGTTTTTTGAAAATTGTAACTCTCCTATAATTTCATGACGTGTTTGGACATTTTGAACTTGTTCTTTTAAAATGTTCATAAAATGCATAGTTTTTGACTTGGAATATTGTTTAATATCATTTTGGAAACCCCAGATACTACTTTATAAGACAAAATTAAAAATTTTAAAAAATTGTTGAAAACTATTTTATTTTTATGTAAGTTTAGTCGAAAAATTATCTGGTTTTTTACTATACACTATCCTTGTCAAAACACTCGCTGACAAATATTAAAACATCTTTTTTAGTTTTTCCTTTCTATTATTAATCGGCCATTTTTGAAGGTATTTCAAAAAGAAATGACATTTTAGAATAAGTATAAAATATAGAAAATGAAAATAAAAATTTTTTTTTTTCAGTTCTCAGGGTATGTTAGTGAGCTGCAAGTGCGCATCAATAAAATCGATGATTTTGGGGCTAAAACTGCTTATAAAACTATGATTTTTCAAAATATTCAGTATAAGTTGGTTTATTCTTTTGGACCATTATCTGGGATTTCCAAAATGATATAAAATATTATTCTCAGCCAAAAACTTTGGATTTTATAAAAGTTTTAAGAAATAAAATCAAAAAAGTTCAAAAATGACCAAAAAATCACGTTTTTTCCGACGGCACCGGAAAAAATGGTCAAAAATAAAAAATATTTTGGATTTTTCTTAAAACCTGCTTTATGGAACTGTTGCGGAAAGTCTAGAAGTCCTGCTCCAAGTGCAGCATTTATTATCAGGAAGACTGCTCCTAATGTACTAGTGCCCTAAAAATAAGAGGGAGTTGGTTGTCTTGACGAGATATTGCATTAATAGCAGACTTATCGCCCTGCAGCTCAGAAGATTCTGAGAATAACTGGATAAAGTGACTGGATATCATACGGATACTTAGAAATGTCATGGAGTACATCAGATTGGATTGGATTGCAGCAGTTCAGTAGTTGATTGGTCTGCAGTATCAGATCAAACTGAAGATTTGGTTTTTGGGGGATTGGCAGCCAGTGCTTTGTTCTTACTTTTGGCAGAGCTATCCTAGATCTTGTATATCTCTCGAAAGTATTCCACAACAGATTTGCCCTTAAACTTAAATGATCACTTAGGTGTAGCATATCACTAGGTTTTCTCTCTCTCTCCATGAACCTAGCCGGTGATTGACGAAGTGCTCCTTGAAGTTGACAAGACCATTAATCTTAGGATGTCTCTTGATTTTCACTCCACAGGTAAGGAAGCATGGATCATGATGGGTTGGGATGATGGGATGGTTATCATACTGATTCATCTCTCTAATCTTGGTGTTGAGATTGATATAGGAGTATCAATGTGGTTCTTTTACAGTTTACTTTTCTCATCATTGAAGGTAGCTAGCTTGGATGAGGGAGAGGGGTGGCAGCAAAGCTGCTCCAAAGAACATTATTGTTACTAAAACAGATGTTGTTAACAGTTCAGTTGAAATCTATTATGTCAATCATGATTTTGTCCGCAATATATTTGTTAAAAATGTCATTGAGACCAGCTACTAGTATAACATCCACAGGCCTATGAATGTGCCATATTCCATGCAAAAGGCATGGTGAAGTTCCTTCATTGTAGCTCCTGGAATGGTGATGTAGTCAAGGTGTATCGTATCACCTTTATATCCATTTGAAAACCTGCGTCCCTGCCAAGTGCCAATTGTTCATGGTAAAAGAGGATACAACAACAGCATATCTTACACCTACTTTGCACGAGTGTAGAGTTCCAGAGTATGTGAAGCAAGGATAATTGCGTGGGAGCCTGGATACGGTATTACTTGGAGCTTTTATGATTGTGGAATTAAATTGAAGGTTGAATCTTTAAATCACCACCTAGAGTAAACGCCAAACATATCTCACAGTATCTATTGATATGCTGATTTGCGATACAATTGTTTTAATAATCAGAGCTTTTAGCACTAATAAACATCACTTCTTCTTTTTCTTTGCAATTTCAGCCAACTGATTTCATCTGTTGAGCTGCAGGATATTTGGAGGTGAGCTTGTCCACGTACGCAGGGTGGGCTAGAGACGTATATTCTGAGGCTTGGGGGGATGCTAACATCAGGCTGGTTTGTTGGATGCATAGCAACAGGATTGTGCTTTCGCTCTGGGTGATTCATCCGACATCTATAAATAGGTTTGGTATATTATACACAGGTTTAAAATGTTGGATTTAATAAACAAGAATAGTTTACTGTCCACAGAATAATCATGATAGAAGAACAAAGATAAAATTGATATTAAAGCTGTCAAATCTAAACTATTATTTTAGGATAAACTACAGCCTGAAAAAAGAAGGCTAAACCAGTGTGATCCATTCAAGGAGGATTAAATAATCAAGAAAAATCTCTTTAATTCTGTCAATTTTCAAGTTAATAGAAAATCAAAATGTTATTGTATTCTGTATAATATTGGCTAATTTTAAATGTTAAAACTGTTAACAAGTAATAATTAATCCCAAGCTTTCATGGTAAAAAATGATCATGGGAGATCAAGATCAGTAAAAACTTGCTCCCTAATCCAATCTCAAGAAGTGATCCATTAATTCAAATGACATCCAAGGTACAAAATAGTTCAGAGATCTATAAAGCATTATTATTCATTAATCGTATTGCAGTTGTTTGATCCAGTTGATCATCCAGAGTTATCAGTATAACCCGGAGTTCTTGAGGCTCCAAAAGAGGCTAGGATTGTCCTACACACACAAGCAGGTCAAAAAACAGAAATTAAATGTATTTATTTGAAGAAGATAATTAATGTTGAAATATGATTTCAACTGATTGATCTTTAGATGTGGAACAGGACTGATACAAGATATCTTTAACAAGGCCTTCTATCTACAGTTTGATCCTACATCTTGTGTTCACCCATCTGCACTCCCAGTCAGCTTAAACAAAGATCTCATGGTGATCTACAGCACAAAGTTAGTATGGAAAACCTCCCAGGTATTGCTTAAATCTAACCTGTGTTAAATGTTAGATTAGCAATAATTCCTTTGCAGGCAGAAAGAATCTGAGGATGACTGTATGTATCGTTTCTGTACTTCATAATACTGTTGCTCTTGAGGGATTGTATCTAGATCAATTCCAGAAGGTGAATACTTCTGATATTTAATTAATTACTCTTTAAAAGAATAAGATTGCTCCTGACCTGACTTTAAACTATTTAAGCTAGGAATATCCTGATCTATTATATGCATTCATTTTACAGGATCAAGAAAGAATTGCAAACCACAGTGTTCACAGGACACACTGAAAAAGTTATTATCTAATAAACTAATCTACATCAACTCAGTAATATCAACAATGAAAACTAGTTGCTTTTTGTTCTTTACATATGCAGGAGAAATTATACTGACACATGGAGAACTTGAAACCCGATAAAACCCTAACAGAAGACATTTGGCTCAGTGTGCAAGAAAGCAAAACCACCATCAAATGCAAGATTTATATTAGAAAGCTAGGGACACCATTGTATTTCTTAAAAAATATTCTCATGTGCCTTTAGAAACAAACGTTTAAAGCTTTTATAAAGTTCTCATATAATGCTTCAAATCCTTTAATCTGGACGTAACATTTCACCAAAGATTAATTTTTGAAATATTGGATTTTCATGTATTCTGTCAAATAACCTTGTTGGATCACAACATTTTACCATTCATCACATTTTATAAATATATCATGCTAATTATGTTTATATTTTCAGCTTCACAGCAAATGATGATCAAGGAATAAACCCTATAACTAGTGTCAATTATTGGGGTGGCTTATAAATAATACATTGGTTAAAAATAGTTATGCACTTCTGATGTTCTGACGCTGAAAATCAAATTGAGAAAACGCTAAAAGCAGAAAAGTACACAAAAGCAAAAGTGAACATCTAGCTTTCAGAGAAGCAACACTGGCTCTGGCTCGTCCCTTCTAAAAGTACTCAGAGATACAGGGTGAGAGAGAGAAAATGGCAAACTAGAAAAACTTTAGCCAGGGGTGTATATGGGGCCGGGTATACACCTCTACACACAAATGGAAAAGAAATAAACGGAACTACAAGAAACATTAAAGGCCTAAATAAATCTTAAAACAATGTATTAAACTGGAAAATGGAGGTTTTTTTTTATCTAACTGGATCCAGATTTTGCTACTGGCAGCTTTAAATTTACTCCTTAATAACAAGCCTGGTTGGCTGTATTAAGTATCCAAACTTGTCGGAAAAATGTTAATTCTTTCAATTGAATCTATGTGTGTAAGCATCAAGGGAACTCAGAACAGTCAGGTTCTTAAACAACTCTCACAAGTTTCTTGTGGCTTAAGAACCCTGTGTGGAATAACATGCAGTACACTCTACTAGGAAAAAGAAAAATAATAGTGGAGAGAGGGAGGGGTTTCTCTCCTTTCTACCCCTTCCCTCTTGCCAGAAACAAGGAAAATGGAAACATATTAAGTAGAATCCTGATAGGCTGAATTCTGAAGCACTGTGTCGGATATGAACTTACAAGAACCAAAATTCTGTTGTTGAAAATATTCACTCCTTTCCTAACCTTTCTTATCCCATTTGTCATTATTATGGTGGAATTCCGACAATGAATATCCTCAGAATTTTCATACCCTGCTTAGCTGTAAGAATATTGAAAGATGAATTATTGAAAAATGAATTAATGTTTAAACCTAAAACCTTCCATTTGATGAGTAGGAGATTCCTGGCAATACTAAAAACTGCAGATCAGGTAAAACAAAGATACAATGCCTTTTCAAAATTTTGTTCAAAATTTTTGATTAAAAAATAAATTGTAAAACATGATATTACAGTAAAAGTATCTCATTCATTTTATAAGCATTATTAATATTCAAGTAAGATAGACTTTTATCACCATAAGACATTTGATTTATTAACAATTCTAATTTGAACCACAAAGACAAAGAAAGGCAATTAAGCTGGGATTAAATTGCCTACATTTACCTATCCAACTGAAAGATTTAACATAATGTGAGAGCAAATAAATAGGATCCCACATATTCTTAGATAAGTTTCCAAAAATTAATTATTTCTTGCTTGGAATTTTCGTAATTTCAGTCTATTTATTTGTGAAAAAATCATAAATATCTGGCAGGAAATCAAATACAATGAAGGATTCATATAATAGGCGAGTTTTTTTCTCAAACAAATTTAGCAATGATAAGATTTGTTGTTTCCTTGGCAAATTTAAACCATTTATTGCAGCCTTTTATTGAATAATTAATTAGACAGATTAAAGAAAGACCTAATTTCTAATATCTTGATTTTCTCCAAATTTATTTCTATATTCTTCTGTAGTTAAGAAAACTGTTTTAAGTATTTTGTATATTAACACCTATGGAAGTGGAACCAAACTGTTTTCTTTTACATTCAACTGCAGTCATCATAAATACACTTAACCCCAAATAGGAAACATGGCAATATCTTCAGGATTAATTTTTAAGAGCTCCAGCAAAAAGGGTTTAATTAAATGTAAGCATTCAGACCAGAACAAGTTAAGAAATTTCTGGGTTTTTCTTGGCAACTGAGAAAAGGGTTGAAAGTCATCTTTGACTTGTTAAATAATTTGTTGTATTCATTTGGCATCCAAACATTAGAAACTGTTTCATGATACAGCAATTGCAAAATAACCCTAGTCCTGCCAATATCAAAATGTGGTCTTCATTCTTTGTACTTTTAAATTCACTTTTAACAAATTCATTCAGAATTAGACAATTTTGGGTTTTGTTAAATAATTAAAATCTTAATAAAATTGCAGCAATTAATTTTCTATGAAACATCATACTTTGCATCTAAACGTAATCTTCCAAAACTTTTCAGTCTCACTGCACAAAGTACAATCTTACAGGCGCGTACGAGGGCATTTGTCTAGGGGGGGCACAATTTGCGCGCATAAGCGTGCAAAAAAAATTTTTTGGTCCCCCCCCTTGGCAACATTGGTCCCCCCCCTTAAAAACCCCTATTTTGAAAAAATATTAATACCTTTTTTTAAAATGTTCTGGTAAACAAATTGATTATATACACACTTTTTAAGTGTTAATAAATTATTTATGTAATATTCTTAAGTGGACTTATCAGAACTCCTTTTTAATACTGTGGTGTAAGCCTTAAGGGGTGAAAAATAGAATTGGAAAGTG